AGAGAGGAAAGGAGAGAGTCCAGAGATGTAGGGCCACACCGCTCCGGGACAACAAGACAACTCTACGGGAAACAAGGCAAGAACCGGGGTAACTATCACGTCAGCCCGAGTGTTCGCAAGAAAATAGCAAAAAAAACAAAGAAAGAGGGGAAGATGGAGGAAAAGAAGGGGTCGGGCGGCGCGCAGGCTAGCTAAGAGAGCAGCGCGCGCCGCGCGAAAGAGACAGCAGGGTCAACTTGTTGGGGTAGCAACCTAGAATGTGCGGACTTTGGCTGCAAACGGGGCCAATGGATACGGGCGAACCTACAGCGTTCTACACGAGGCAGCGAGACAAGACGTATCGGTGGTAGGAATGCAGGAGACACGGAGAGCAGGTCGAACGGAACTTGTAGCAGCGGGTTTCCGGGTGTTCTGCTGTGGCACGGAGACTGGTGGANGGGGTAGCAACCTAGAATGTGCGGACTTTGGCTGCAAACGGGGCCAATGGATACGGGCGAACCTACAGCGTTCTACACGAGGCAGCGAGACAAGACGTATCGGTGGTAGGAATGCAGGAGACACGGAGGGCAGGTCGAACGGAATTTGCAGCAGCGGGTTTTCGGGTGTTCTGCTGTGAAACGGAGACTGGTGGAGTCCATGGTGTGGGGATAGCCGTCAACGAGTCACTGTGCAAGACATCCACGTTCACTACGGAGTTTATCGACGAACGCCTTATGGCCATGAGGTTTCTGTTGGCAGGCCACCGTGGAGCGGTCAACTTCGTAGCCGCGTATGCTCCAACCGAACCTTCAACCGCCGACAGCAAGCGCGTGTTCTGGGTAAAACTTGACAGTCTCGTGCGGAGGACCCCTTCCAAAGAATGTGTGTATGTCCTAACGGACGCCAACGCGCGGACGGGAGATAGGTTGGACGGAGAAGGGTAATAGGTATGTACGGGCGTGATGAGCTCAACGACAATGGCATGCTACTGTTGAATTTCGCAACGGAAAACAGGCCAGCTCTCACGAACACGTTCTTCGAGACGCGCAAGGGCGGAATATGGCAAACATACAACGGTGTGTCGGGAAACGATTGCAAACGCCTTGACTACGTCCTGACAAGGCAGGCACATCACGGCCGAGTATCTAACGTGGTTTTCATCCCCCAGCCGGTTCGCCCAGCCAAAACAGACTCAGACCACAATATGGTAGTAGCCACCGTCAACCTCGGTGGCAGGCTTGCCCACAACCGTGCAGTCCGGACTAAACCGAAACAGATGCAATTCAATCGACGGGAAGTGCAATTCGAAGCAGCACGGTGTGCGGTGACTAATCGGTTCCTCCTCAACCTCGACACACGACTGGACGAGCGAACAACCACCGCCGCGGAATTGGCGACCGACTTTACCAATGCTCTTCTCGACGCAGCGCGGACGACCCTGGGGGAGGAACCGCGGAGACGCCGCACGCAGGAGTGGTGTGAGACCCCACAGACGAGAGCAGCGCTGGAGCAGGCCCTTACCAAACGGCGGGAAGCGCGCCGGGCGATGAGGGGCAACTGGAACTCAGCAACGTGGAGGGTTCTCAAAGCAGCGTGTGAGGGAGTGGCTACAGCAGTCGAAACGGGCATTTATGCCCACCTGGACGGATACGTGACTGAAATCGAAGCAATCTACAAAGATCCCGACATGCGAGGACTGTACCAACACCTCAAGAGATCAGTGGGCCTCAGCGGGAGACAAGCGGGGGGAC